AATATATGCCAGCAAGTTCAAAAAAAATCCAATATTCCAATCACAATATTGAGGGATGCATCTTCTAATATATAATTATTTATATCAGTAAATGAAAGACTCTGGAAAAGCACTTATTACATACTTATGTGTATATATATATATATGAGAGCCCTTAATAATAATAAATCTTCAGCTAAGTCCAGCTAGAATAGCAAGGAACATCGAACCTCGACCCCCGGAAACTCTGGGCTATCCATCCACAAGCCGAGGTTGGTTTTGTCTTTGATGAGCTTGTCGACCAAGTCTTTGTTGCCTTTGTACTTGTCCAAGAGATCCTGCATTCCAGAATCATGGTATCGTAATGACTACCCAATCATATTCCTATATGTATAACATGATACTCCATGCTGCAGTCTTGTCTCAGTCCTGCTGATTCAGCCACGCCCAGGTCTGGGTCCTGCTAGTGCTCGCCCTGCTTGTCTGGGTGACCACCAATGATGTCTGGGCCCAATCCTCAGAGCTGTTCATCCACTCGTCGAACATAGCATTGATGGCGACTCGGTCTCCATTTGCTTGACGTACACGATCCACAATCTCTGGAGGGCACTTCTTGCCTTAGCATTGCATAACAGGAATTCTGCAATCAAGAAGGCCGCATGCAGGCTCGCACCGCGCGGCATAAACTCGGGGCCGTGATGCTCTTCACCGAGCGGAAGAAACGCATCTTGGCAGCCCGCAGCTCCCGGCGCTCCTAATAATTTGCATTGAAATCGACAAGCAAACACATGCACAGAGTGGGGTTCGGAGCTGGGGTATACGTTTAATAACAGCCGAATGCGACACCCCTTGGCAGGGGGTTTGCTTGGAGTTAGCAAGTCGGTTATACTAAGGGTTTAATTATTTATCCTAATAGCTAATATTGGGATAACTTCATGTAGTGCACTTATTATTATAACTCTACTTATATAACCTCCTTACGTATACTATGCAGCCGAATGCGACACCCCTCGGCAGGGGGTTTTATTATTAATAGGGCTTTCGAGTTTGGGGTTGAGGATTTGGGGGTTAGGGGTTAGGGTTTAGGATTTATTATTAAGGCTAGCAGTTGAATCGAACGAAAACCTGCAAATATGACCACTAGTGCAAAGAAACATGTATGTACATATATATACATATATATATACATATATATATATATAGATGCGATTAGCTATACTAGTGTATGCGTCATGCTAAACCAGGCTCTCGGCTGGGATGGTATACTATATTTTAGTGTAGCGACCCAACCGCATATTAATAATATACTCTGCCCATAATAATTAATATTAGATATTATTATATCCAATATATCAGCAGGAAAACCGCCTGCAAACTAAAGTTGTATAAGTCATACTACAATCAAAATAGTTTGCTTGGGGGGGTAGCACGATGAATAGTTTGGGTAGTCTGTACTTGTGTTGATAACTCCTACTATGCACATGATGCTGACAAATTGAAAGTCGGGTCCTGGTCCATCACCCTTTTGGCCTCAAGCTCCTGTTGGTTCGGCACCGGATCACCACGCTCACGATGGTGTGTCACAGGCAGCTGCTGCTGGTCTCCGGATCCAAGGGTAGAGGTCACCGAAGCTGGCACGTGGTTCGGGTCTGCAAGGGTCGAAGTCGGCGGAGCTGGCACCTGGTTCATCGGGTCTGCAAGGGTCGAAGTCGGCGGAGCTGGCACCTGGTTCGGGTCTGCAAGGGTCGTCGGCATCGGAGCTGGCACCTGGTTCGGGTCTGCAAGGGTCGTCGAAGCCGGCATCGGAGCTGGCACCTGGTTCGGGCCTGCAAGGGTCGAAGCCGGCATCGGAGCTGGCACTTGGTTCGGGCCTGCAAGTGTCGAAGTCGGAGCTGGCACCACTAAGCGGGGCGAGGTAAGCGGCGAGGTGAGCCCCACTGCATCGGACTCAAGCTGCTTCCGCAGCAGCTCCACAATCTCCTCCTTGCTCAGGCTTGCCAGAGCATCACTCAGCGACTGCGACATTCCCATGTCAGACTGCTTCGAATTCTCCACAGCTGGCAAGGAGGACTCCTGCGACACATCAGTGTTGCACCTGGCGAGCTGCTCACGGCTCATCAGGTCGACGGAGCTAGGCCGCAACAAAGCAGCATGCACCGCATCGGAAGCCACCGCTGGGTCCGATACTGTCACAGCTGGCATGGGCACATCTACCGTCACAGCCGGCATGGGCACATCAGCCGGCTCCTGACACTTGGCCACTTGGGTCTCCTCAGCCGGGGCCATCTCCGCATCCTCCTCGTCATAGTCCTCGATCGCATCGTCAAGTAAGCCCTCTTCCACATCGTCGGTTCCCAAGAGCTCGTCGATGTCCTTCAGAGTCGGGGCGCTCATGTAGCTGTCCTGCCAGGGTCGTACATTACATATTCTATGCTAATGAAATGATAGTACACTTATTATTTCTTATTAATAATAATAGTTATTATTCTTATTATTAGTATTATTCTTATTATTATTATTATTATTGTTATTATTATTGTTATTATGATTATTATTATTATGATTATTATTATTATTGTTATTGTTTTATATGTATATATATATATATAGATAGTATCATTATATATTGGACCACAGAAACCATTATAATTAATAATAATATGATAACCAATCACATACCATTAATATTACATATACATATATATGTATATATGATATACATTATTAGAACTTGTTTTGCTCATGATTGCTATGTATCATACAAACTATATTACAATAGATATCAGTATTTATACATATGTATATGTATATTTTCTATATATATATATATGTGTGTGTGTCAGTGTGTATCTGAACATACGCGTGTATATATATATATATTTATTTATTTATTTATTTGTTTATTTATATTTATTTATTTATTTTCTTTATTTGTACAGGTCTATGTATATGTACATATTCATATGTATAGACTCGTATGTATACATGTAGATGTTATGATATAGTCCTATCGCTCCTAATATAAGAAGTATTATTAATAAAGGAGATACATATCTATATATATATATTATTATATGATGAATTATAAGTATTACAAATAGGATGATATTCTTATCCGTGATACCACTGTCGAGTCAAGCTTTCTGCTATCGGCAATAGCATATCAATCCATTATGAAAGCAAGAACACTGTTACCAATACAAGGAATTTGTCATCAGCGAGACTCCACCTCATTGTGGCGAGTCACACGATGATCACTGTTTCAATAATACGGGTGCTTTGCTACACAGGCCTCACATATAAAATATATATGTGGATATGTTTGTACATGTACATGTGTGGGCCTATCCAAATATCAACTTGTAGCTTGACGATATTGATGATTGCATCCGTCAATGTTGCTCATACTCGTTTATTATTAGGATAGCTAGGCAGCCGGACGGCATGTCGACAGCCAGCAGAGGGATAAGTATCATAACATGCATGACGGGGTTCCAAGAGTTGTTAATATTTACATATATACAATATGTTCATGTGATGATGTATGATGCGCTTTGGGGGATCTGGCTGTTACTCTTCTATCAAGTAAGTACCACATGCGACTTGCAAAACGCCTCAACATAGTAGCATGGCACATGTGATATTCCCAAACTTGTATTAATTATGACAAGGCCATATATATATATATATATGTATATATATATATATACACACACACGAGGAGTGGAAGCATTTTGTTATTAGGTACTTCAGATATTTCGATATAGATATCAGTGTGCAAATTATTTAATGAAGACAAGAAACCATGGCACTATTGTTGTGAATGGTCTTGTGGTACGATTCTCAGGCAGTGGTCACGATATCTAGAAACCCCACCCCAGTATGAAAGTACACAGGGTCGGTTTTGAGTGATGGGTCTGTGGGGTGGAGGTTCTGTTTGCCTTGTATAATAATGTATTATGAAGAATACAATATTAAGGTACTTGTGCAACGTATGGACTTCTAGCTTAGCCCATAATAATAATATTCGAAGCTGAGCCCAGTTATCCAAACCTGCATCGGCTTCGTAGCTGCACCCTGCTGAGGTGTCGAAGCAGCAGCTGTGGTCGGCGAAGGCTCACCCAAACCTGTCGGCACGATTACTAGCCCTATTAATAATATAGGATATTTATTCCCATATATATATATATAGTTATCTTTATCATTAATAATAGGGGAGGGGGAGGGAGAGAGAGAGAAACACAGCCCGCCTGCACCCTGTCCCTCTTCGAAGGAAAGCGTCCGCATAGCATCGGACCGGGCTATCTTGGGTTCCGGAGTCGCAGTGGATGGGCTTGGCTTCGTAGCGGATGCGGGATTTATGACGTTCTCCGGAGCCTTCATCGGCGTTCGCACCGAGCGAATGCGCTTTTCTGCCTCGGCAGGCTTCTGCTGAGCAGCATGTGCTGTCGCCAGTGCCACACGGCGCTTGGCATCGGCCAGCGCCTTGGCAGCTACCTCCAGATATGGTGCCGGTATATAATGAAGTATCCCTCGCACATGCATATATAATCATGAAGTACTAATAATAATAAGTTGATAATATTAGAATTCTAAGAATATGCCGTATATACATATGCATATATACATATCTACATATCGTATAGGCATATATATATATAATAATAATTACAATAATAATAATAGTAATCATATATATATATATGTCTATCTATCTATATATATATATATATATATTATGATTGTATTATTACTGTTATATACCATGCAAGGAAAGGTAAGTGCACTGCGAGGTTTATGTATATATATATATATATAGATAGACATATATATATATATATACACAGTATATATATATATATACTGTATATATATTATATATATATGTACATAGTAGATAACTACAGAAACCGTACATCTGGCTATGTGAGCATTATATTCTTATTATCGTTATAAGTAATAATATTGTTAACGTATTACCTTAGGTTACGTATATAAGAGTATAAACCGCATGCGTGTGTATGCCGCGCGGTTCGGAGACTGGGATATATAATAAAGATGTATACTTTGGAATTTTGTTATTATATTATGTAGGGTATAGCATCGCAGACTGTTTTGGGACATATATATGTGTGTGTATATATATATATGTATATATATTTACACAAGTCAGAGATGTATATTGGACCCTATAATTAATAATAACAAGACACTCACTCTGTATACATGTGTGTATGAATCTTTAATAAGATACATGTGACTGTATATACACACATATATATACACATATATATATGTATATATATATATATTCACATGTATATAATTGCACACCTAATATAAAACTAATGGCTAGATCCTGATAGAGTGCTGTCGTGTATATGAAGCTAGTCATGGTGTTGTTATTACACAGGTTACCCTAGTTATTATTTAAAATAATACTAATAATAACACAGAATAAAATACTCTTATATACAGGAATTGATAGACCGCATGCAGGTGCGTGCCGCGCGGTTCGAAGACTGGGATATATAATCAAGATCTATACTTTGGAATTTTGTTCTGATTATGTAGGGTATAGCATCGCAGACTGTTTTGGGACATATATATGTATATGTATATATATATATACACAAGTCAGAGATGTATATTGGACCCTGTAATAATAACAAGAGGCTCACTCTGTATACATGTGTGTATGAATATATTTAAGGTACATGTGACTGTATATACACACACATCTATCTATATATATGTATATATATATATATATATATATTCACATGTATATAATTATGGCTAGATCCGGATAGAGTGCTGTCGTGTATATGAAGCTAGTCATGGTGTTATTACACATGTTACCCTAGTTAATACTAAAAATAGTATTAATAATAAAAAATATACCATTAATATTGTATATTCTGGAATTGATAGACCGCATGCGGAAGCGCGCCGCGCGGGTCGAATTTGATGGTGTATCATGTAGGAGATAGACCGGTTATATATGTGTGTATATACACATATAATAATAACTGTATATAATAATAGTGACAGAATTATTATGTATATATCTGTGTACCCGAAGATGTGAACATGTGATTGTGTATATATATATATATACATACATAATAATAGTAGAAGCACAAGAAGCCTGGCCTCAGCAAGCTGGGCGGGGGTCTCCATGACAAGGCCAGGCACAATCTAGCAGGATGGAGCTCGAGAATCGAAAAGAAATCTGGCCGGCAACGAAAAATACACAGAAGGGCAGGCTTCCACAGCGTGACAAGCAAAGTCAAGACACACGGACGCCCCAAAAGCAGCCCATCCCCGTCCAGTCCCCCTCCCATCTGTCTCCTACCCCAAGCACGTAACCCACACGTCACGCTAGCGTCACGCTTACGTCACGGTCCCCGTCCCGGTCATTCTACGGAAGTGTCCTCCCTGCCAGTACTTTGGATGCTTTTTCCATGGAAGTCTGTTCCCTGGCAACACTCGGCCATTCTACAGGTCACGGCCCCGTCACGGTAACGTCACGCTTTTGTCACGCTCCATTTGTGCTGTTCTCAGCAGGAAAATCTAGGTTTCTGACCAGGATGCCACCCCGAAGTCAAGCAGTTCTCTGGAAACCAAGCTAAAGTATGCCGTAATCACCCAAAAGCAGCACAAAAATGGAGCTCTCGGAGCCGTTGCAGGTCTTCGACCTCTGCTTATTCTCACCACTACTATGCTAGTATCGTACAAATGTACATATACACATCTCATGTGTGAGTGTATATTCACATGTTGTCATGATGTACACATGTACATGTAAGTAAGACAACTATATAGATAAATATACATAACATACATATATATATGTATATATATGTATGTATATATATATATATATATGTATATATATATACATACATTGATATGTTCGTACCTGATATCCTCGAATATCTACTATTAAATTATTAGATCTGGACCTGCAACATCGGCTTGTACCTGCCAGCCCTCATCTCGACTTTCAGGAACTCGCCGAGGTCCTCGAGCCCAAGCCAGTCTGGCGATTCCTTGGCTGCAGGTCTCACAGTTCATCCTCATGCCACACACATGCATGTTCGATTAATTCTGCATGTGCAAGAGCATCACCCTTTTCCTCACTTCGCACCCTGGCAGGTGTTCTTGCCACCACGCTTGCGCTGCTTCCCCTGGGTAAGGCGCTCGAAAGCTCTCTTGGCCATCTTTGAGTAGCCACCCTCCCTCAGGAGCGTCGCCAAGCGTATGGCAGCCTGCCATACACACACATTTATTATTATTAGTATGATTATTATTACTATTATGACTATTATTATTATTCTTCTTATTACTGCGGTGGGACGAAAGTTTGACCTACTCCTCGTTTCGTCGAACACAGGCCCCCATTCCCTCATAGAATCCTAACAAGCAGGACCAACCGGCTACTCCTCCGGAACATTAAAGTAGTATAATTTTAAAACGGGGTATAAAATACTCCGCTGGCCAGGCCACGTAAATCGCACTTTTCGGTACTCCGCTACTCCGCAAGACGTCTTAAGACAAGACAGATCCAGTCGGTCAAAACTTTTGTCCTCCCGATGCCTCACCGGGACCTTTCTGTTCAGCAAACCTCGCCAAACTTGTTGCTTTGTGACCTACCGACCTCCTGCAGGGTCCCCTAGACAGACATCCCCGTCTAAGAAACGATTCAGAAGGCATCGCCGGGCCGATAGTTTCGACCCACTTGTGCATCATCTTACATACAAGCTCTTGCGGAGTATCGGCGTACCTCAAAGTGCCGTTTACCCTACGCAGGCCAGCGGAGTAATTACTACGCCGTTTTAAACATATAATACTTTTTAGTTCCGGCGGAGGCCCCAAGGCTCACTTGTGTTAGGGGTCTATGGGGAAGAGGGTGGAGGCCCATGTGTTGTAAAGCATGTTGAAGCTAGTGGGTCGAACTATCGGCCCGGCGCAGCCTGCATTTTCGAGGCAAGAGTCCCCTCCTTCGCAGTCTTGGTGAAAGCAAAGCCGAACACTTTTATTGTGGGGTTGCTTGGGCTGGACTCTGGCACCCAAAATTGACGCTGCGGTGGGACGAAAGTTTGACCTACTCCTCGTTTCGTCGAACACAGGCCCCCATTCCCTCATAGAATCCTAACAAGCAGGACCAACCGGCTACTCCTCCGGAACATTAAAGTAGTATAATTTTAAAACGGGGTATAAAATACTCCGCTGGCCAGGCCACGTAAATCGCACTTTTCGGTACTCCGCTACTCCGCAAGACGTCTTAAGACAAGACAGATCCAGTCGGTCAAAACTTTTGTCCTCCCGATGTATTATATACATATATAATAATCATAACAATATATATATATACAGCTTATTATATATGTATACATATATATATGTAGCTATAATTATTATATACTAGACGGTACATATAATAAGAATAATATAATATTATTAATATTATTTATGTACATTTATATACAATATTATATATATATATATATATATGTGTATATATATACATATTAATATTATTATATTAGTAGATATTATATTATGAATTATATCCGACACCGCGCGGAGCTCCGCATGCGGCATTATTTGTGTATAATATATAACTTGCTTCTGAGGCCTCACTGCCCTTGCACGACGCGGGTGGCTCCGGTGGCGACGTGGGCTTGGCCTGGGGCATAGCAAGCTACACTAGCAGTAAGCTCAAGAAAGCACTGCAAGGGAGGCCTTCTTCGGAGGTGGCACCACTCTCGGATCCTCTGTCGGATCCGCCGCCTCACTGTTCAATGTCTTTGCATTGTATACATAGATATCCATGTATATATATATATAGAGAGAGAGAGAGAGAGACTTATTATTTATTACTCATTTGATGGAAGAGGCTCCCGAGGCCTGAACCCTCTTCGCAGCGAGCTTGGCCGGTGGCGGAATCTGATAGTGCAAACAATAAAACGAAGCGGCCGAAGGAACCTTGTACAACGAGGCCCCAGCTATCTTGGGGATGTATCTCACGAAAGGCTTCGGGGCGACCTGATTTATTGAAGCTTTGGGTTCAAGCAATCCAATACACACCGATCGCTGAGGCCGGAACAACCTTAGGGCC